GGAATAATTTATCAATATTTATGAAAATAGGTTTTTGAAGTTGATATTGTAAAGTTTTATGAGATGTAAAAGGGCACTAATATCCATCACGTGGAATTGAGTTATATTTTAGCAGACAGTCATGCTTCAAAACGGTTCGTATAGTCATTAAGGCATCATTAATCTTGCGCTTTTCTTATGCGTACAACAATAAAGTCATTGTTAGAACAGGTGCTATTTAGATATGTCAACGTTATTAACTCAATTATAGAACAATAAAGTTCGATAATGAATATCAAAATTCATTTAGCAAATCCAAATTTTAATAAATTCAAATGAAAACTAAATTACGCTAGATTATGTCAAATTGGTATTATCAAATAATTTATTGGTATTATCAAGTTATTATAAATAAAATAATTTATTAAATCATGAAAGATCTCTGATCTTTTTTCTCAATCTTAACTAAATAATATTTTAAAAGAAATAGCTTTTTATCATGTTGTAATATCCTTATGTAACCACAAATAACGTAACCGTTTTCTCAATTTGGAAATTGCTTCGAAATCGTTTGAGCATAACAGAAAAGTGTTTGCATGTAACGGCACGATAATTATTTTATATAATTTTTACATGACAAATATTTTGCTAAACATAATAAAATTTTATGATGAAAAAAGCATTGAAAAATTATTAAAAAATGTTGTTTTAAGTAGCAGTAGAGTGATAGCATAAATTAGATATCGTTTGAAAGAAAATATAAAAGAAAAATATTCACGCCTTTAAAAATATTTAAAACACAAATACAAAATCAGCTTATTGAAAAGATATCTGGGCACGTATTATGGAATGATTCGTTATGGAATTTCCGATCGGAATTATTGCGGTTTCTTTGGAAAATACAGCAAAAATCTAGGAAATAATTGAACAATTCCGGTCGGAATCAATTCTGAATAATTCCATAATACCCTGAGTACCTCGAAATAATTCTCACATAATTTACAAAATAGTTTGACCTACACAAATCTGTGTCATTCTTGAAACTCAATACAAAGTTCGTATTGTTTTGTTGAATATTCGAAACATTGATTCATACGATTTTGTAGCCTTGGCCTGCAAAAACTACCTGTACATTTGGTAAGGTTCGTTTCGAGTCTTTTCAGTCTCGAACAACAATACCGTATTTCGCGAGGATCGTATTTTCGCAATAAAGAAAACTTTCAATGTGCTTTCCATGCGTATGCACATATGGTGGTTTCCTTCTGGAAACTAGAGCAATTTACGGTCCCTAAATTCAACATAATATTTGACCTAGTCACATACCTTGCCGACATCTGATCTTTCTTAGCAATGTAGCCCACCGATACATCATCGTTTGCATCAGATTTCACATTTTGCGTTACATTTTTTTTGCGTTTTTAAATAAAACGAAAATTTATTGCTTCGCAATATATTCGTATAAATTTAAAAATAAACATATAATGGTATCAAAGAAGATAAGAAAATTAGTACATACATAATCTTTACCACAAAATAATTTTACCACTTGGTAAAACCTGGCAATTGTGTGTGACAAATCATAGAACAATAGAGGATTGATAGAATTTACCATAAACTTTTCTGAGCCTCAACATTCAATAGATTGCATTAATTTATATGTTTTGCTAATATTTCTTTTTTTTTAATAGTATTTTCTATTAAAAGCAATATTCAATCAAGTACAAAGCGAAAAGTAAATAAATTTCATTGAATTTTGCGAGAAACTCAATTAATATTTTGTACTATAAAAGTTCATCACAAAATCTATATTATTATCAATTTACAGTTATAATTTTATTATCATGCATTAGATTACTTACCCACAGTTCTTCTACATTTTCAGATCTTCATTACTAGCAACTCAACTGATGATGAACTGCATCCGATGAAAGAAACAAACTGTAACAGCACACTTTAATTAAATAATAAAACCAACTTTTTGTCAATCTTTTTGACACATTCAAGTAATTTTTAATTCCAATTACTTCAAAATCATTGGCTGGCTTGTTTCATCTTTCAATAAACTTCAGCTCATTGTTTTGCTCTCTTACTCTTTTACTCTTTTATTTATCCAATAGGTAAATTATTACATAGTTTATCTGAAGATGGAACAATCAGCCCTATGTTATCTCGATATTTATTTTGATAAAAACAATCGATTTATAATTCAAAGAATTTGTATATTTGTAATCTAAGCAAAGAGATTTCGATTAGGTATTTAATTAAATAGTGTAATTATTTTATTCAAACAAAAGCATTACTTTTGTGATAACCAAACAATTTTCATAAGATCCATATTTAAAAATCAGATCCATATTTATAATTATAACAGAATATTTATTTCAAAGTTATAAGGTTATATTTTCTAAATTTATTATTAAAACATAATTGCTTCTTACCCACTATTTCGATCGCCTTCATGATGAACCAGGCAATCAAATAGAAGAAAGTCTTGGTTCTGGCCGACGCGAACAGGTAAAATCACGAATTACAAAACCGTTGTAGGAAATATTAACCCTAGCAATACACGAACAATGAAATCGAACTTCTAATCAAAATGAGAGCGTGACAACGTTGCTTGCGAGGAAAAAAATCAATTCAACAACCGGCCAACTTCTTGATCCTACCAGTAAGGTGGCAGCACCTCACCGCGATTTCTCTCGTCAGTGGCAACGTCGATGGCTGTATTTTTTTTTTCTCTGTTCACGTTGCTGGCAGATTAGGCTAATGCGATGGACCAGATGAGATATGGGCCAGCGAATGGGAGTACAGTACTCGCATGGCAGGGGCGTGACTGTACCCTGGAAACGGCCGTGCCCGGGGCCGCAATCGCGACGTAAACTAAGTGCTGGGTGGAGCCCCGTCTAGGCACTACCTACTCGATGGAACCATCATACTCTACCTCGAATGTCACGGGGGCAGTCTAATGGTTGCCGGTATCCTTGAAAAGGCGCCAGTTTCAAATAGTTTAAGTTAACAAATGTACGATTGTATCGTTTAATTATGGTATTGCTTTATGTCCGGCTAATATCCATGATTGAATCCTTCATCGATGTATCCGTTGCATTCTCTCTCATATTCGTCGCCTTCCTCCAATTCCAAATATTTGAGTGTGATTCATTAGTTTGTTGATAAAACATAAAAGCTTGACGTTTTTTTTATTTTATGTACAGTCACTTTTTTTGAAAGAGATAAAAAGTATGTATCTCTTATCTATCTATTTATAATTGTAATATATATTTCACTCTGATACCTCATATAAAGTTGTAATTTTCGTAGTATCTTCAATACAAATTATGAATTCTTTATATTAAATTTTATATCTTCATCAATTTTGAATTGTCATCCATTCATTCAGTAAATAACAGATAGTGTCACTAGATCCTCATTATTCGTATTGATTGATTCATATTCAATGCGATAAGTATATTTGATGAAAAAGCTTCCATTTTCATTGGATAAATAGGTATAATTAATTTTGTTGCAATCCATAGTAGTATATCCATAGATAACATGTTATGGAATCTGAAAAAATAAAAAAAAGTATTTTATTATTATTAGAGAAATATATTCCTAATTATGATAAAAATAAACACGTAATGTAAATGTCATCCATGCAATGAATTAGAGAGATGAAAGAGCGTGTGGTACTCATAATAATATTAAGGATGAGAGAAAAAAATATAAACAGGATCTTTTCAATTTGTTCGACGCGATATACTCGACAATACTACTTACGTCACCCTGATCGTGAAAGTTTATTGAATCTACGAGGTCGCGATATTTTTAACAGAGAACAATGAAGCATACGTATTTGCGCCAATCTCGCGTACAATGCATTCCAATGACCTCGAGTGAGAAAGGGCAGCAAAAGATTTTAAAAAAACGTCCGTCCGTCGAACAAACACTTTTCAGTCTATCAGCCCTTGCACGGTAGTTTTTCATGTCCCGCTTACTCGTTCCAACCCCTTGCTCATTCCCACGCCATTCGTCTGTCTACCGATATTCGTCGGTAGGGCCATATCTCCCGACTACTTTTCAATTTCATTCGACGAGAGTACCTCGGTGTGCACCCACCTCGTGCCTCTTTCTCGCCGTCCGTGTCCAATTCTGGACGACATAAATCCGATAAGTTTTTATTATTTAGCATATCTGTAGCTACAGTCGTCACCTAGAATCCCGTTGAGAGACCGCGGACGGTCGCTTGGTAGGAACACAACTGGCAGAGAGCGGTAGGGGATTGAAGTCAGTGGTGTGGCGCAGCGGCGAAATTTCTGTCGCGAGACTAGCACGGTTGGCGGTCTCGAGGGATGCTCCGTTGATGTCATCGGGACATCCGGCTAATTGCGAGGATGTTTTGTTAGTTTCTCGGAATACGCGAGTCTCTCCCCTTACAAGGTTTTGCATTTAGCCTTTCTATACATCGGCGACGTGGACCCGGACCCAAACTTCCTAAAACACCTGGAAATGCGCCCCACTCGAAATAAATTCGCATTAATTCAACAAATGTCAGCCTGTATCTTATTACTAAAGTAAAAAATAATCTGAATCTAACCAGACCGCATATATCTATCTACCTAAAAATCCAGATTATTCATACATTTTTCATTCAACATGTCTAATACACAAGAATGTTCTATCTATATAAAATAATAGTACTATATTAAATAAAATTCACTCAATGATATTAAGAAATGCTTCTAGATTTTTTTTTCAAATATATTTTTGTATAGACATATTTAAAAATTATCATCAAAAATTATCAATTTTTAGGAATTAAATATTTGATTTATATGTAATGTAATTATTACCGTTGTATTATAAAAAAAAGTATTTTTCGAGCAATTGTTTCTCATCAAAATAATTATATCGTCAAATATTGAATTGTCCGGAAAGTTCGTGCCGACTATATAATTTAATAAATGTATACTAAAATTTAAATTTTCTGCGTTTCAATTTTCCTTCAACATCGGTACGAATTTTCCGGACAACCCAATATTTTACATATATTATTGAACCCAAATTAATACTAATTTAATTAAGCAAGTTGTAAAATTTTTGATAAATATATCGTCGAATGTTAGAGAACACATATTGTTGCGATGTTTTAGATGTGAACATTGATTGCGGAAGAGATGCTTACTTCGCTTGGCGGTTTGCAAAGCATGGGATAGAGTGAGGTATTCTAGGAAGGGAAGAAAGGAGAAGGGGTAGCGATATTATTGATTTATGTCCCGTTATACGTTATGTATCCAACGGCGTCCTCCGCAACATACAATGATTCACCTACAGCACAATATTGTTTACACCTGAGAATCGACTACGACAGAATTTTTTTCAAATTCCCCTTTTTACAAAAATAATAAGCCATTAACATGCTGTTTTTTTTTTTTCGTATAATCCTAGGATTTGAAACGTAAAAACTATAACCGAGAAGATTAATAATACAGTTATATTTTACCATATCTAGTTTTTGTTAGAAATTTCTTTGTAAGATTACTCTCAACAATATATTATCTGAAAAAGATAGTAAAACTATAGTTATATAATAATAATAATTAATATTATTAAATTATAATTATTAAATAAATAATTTAATAAAAAATGCGAGAATTCATTGTCCAAAATTGTTCAAATAGCTTACATAAAGCCGTTTAAATTTAATGTGTTTATAACGCGAATGTTTGAACTTCCATAAACTCTTGGTAATTGTCTACATTATCGGACATCTCCATCGCACAAATCGAAACTGATCATCACCAACGGAAACAAACGCCGCGGAAGCAGTCAGGACAGGCGAGCAACTATCGCGTACGGGCATTTCCAGGGAAGTAGGCGTTCGTGATATCAATTATCTTCGATACGATTTACATTGTACGAAATGCAGCGTGTACGAGGATTGTGCCGTTGTGATGTGCGACGGAAATTGGGTGGGGATAGCTAGGCGCAGCGGGGTGAAGAGACAAAATTGTCGAAGGTGGCAAGTGGGGGGTCAGCGAGCGGGAAGCGCCGAAAATTGATGTATTCTCTATGCAAAATAGCAGAAGCACACGAGGCTAATAGTAGCCGGACAGCACGCAACCAGAATTCCTCTATGGCAACCGCTTACCATTCTCTCTTCTCCCCTCTGTCAAGCTTCTACCTACATCACCACCTCCGTCACCTACGTCCTGGACAGAATCGAAAGCGGCATAGAAGCCGTTAACACTCTATTAACACTAACGACGCTCATACATAACAACGGTGCCGCGGGGATAGAATTTATGGTCTATTAATGGGGGTTACTTTATGCGTTATGTAGTTGTAGTCGTCATGCCGACAGGTAGTATGACGTAAATTTTACGAGGCCCCGCGCGGAGCGTCCATGTATGCAATAAGTTACTCTGAGACCCGTTATTAATGTGTTTACACTAGAATATTCGTGGATTCGGTCGGCGCCACTTTTCCTGTTAACCGCCGGAACAATTCCCCACGGATTGGACCAAGTGAATTAAAATCCAACCGTTAAACGCCCATAAGTATAATGAAGCGAGCAGTTCAAGAGTTAACACGCATCAAGTATACAAAGACATAAATTTAGACCATGGATTCAGGGATAGCAGACTCCTCAGATTAGAAGACGTAGAGTTATCTCCTTCTTCTATTATCTTCGTAATCTGTACAATTCTATATTAAGTCGAAAATTCATTATCTAGATATTTTATTTCTAATTTAAGATATATGATTTAATAGATTATGAGATATAACTAATTTAATGGAAATTAATTAATAACACTTTTTTTCTTGTTAAATTTATTATATAATTTAATTTAACATCAAGGAATTTTAGAGCTAATAACTTTTGATTCTTTATTCATATCATACGATCCAATTCAATTCAAATATATAAAATTATATTTTTTAAAAGACTAAACTGGAGCTTTATGTATATTTGAATGTATATTTTTCTCCTTTTTTTTTTATTTTATATTTACACGTATTCTTCAGATTGTAAAACACATTTCATGTAGTGTTATATTGCATTAAATTTGAAAAAACAAAAGTTATATATATATATATAGAGAGAGAGAGAGAGAGAGAGAGAGAGAGAGAGAGAGAGAAAGAGAAAACAGGTGTACTCGTAATCTCTCGCGAAATGCGAGTAAACAAGAAAGTTAACGGGCTCACCGCTCGTCGAGTGCAGCGTAGTCGAGTGCCAAAGTTCATCGTGAGATCCTGCCCTCCTCACGGGCTAAAGGAGACGCGGCAAGGCCGGTAAAGTGATAAAGCGGCCATAAATTCTAACCGCCATCCTCCCACCGGCTCCTCTATCTTGCCGAGTCTCTACTCCACCGACTCTTCGCTCTCTCCCATCCTCGGCTATCTCGCTCCCTCCGTTCGTCCTGCCTACGGATTCCTTCCTCGCCTCGAATGCATTTACAACGTGAATGCACCTGCAACAACAGAATTGGCAAAGGTCACCATGCGCTCCGTTGCTTTAAATCGTAAATACGCAATCCACTATATAGATATACTCACTTGACGATGAATTCTTCTGCTTCTCTATCTCGCATGACCTGGATTCGTTACCCAGTTCCGGAAGTGCGATAGCATTACCAGACTTCCGCCGATTATACTCACCTTTCGTCGCGTCAACAGATGTTATAGATAACATCGCATCAATTAATTGATCTCTTTACAGCAAAATTTAGCAGATATATTTATACATATATATGCTTGCTCAATTTATGTTTAACATTTCTAATCGCATAGAACATTAATAGGAAAATAATGTGATAAAAACACGCTTCAATATTGATTGATTCTGCATTAATGAAGTATACGTAAATCAATATTAAATTAGGTATGTTTTAAAAATTTTCTCAAATAAGAAATATCCAAGTCCGTTATACTTCGTACACATCATTTAAACATGTATGTATTTTAAAAGCAGTATATCTATTCTTTTATATTAATCTGTTCTGATTACATTTATAAAATGATTATTTACTTGTTCTATCTTAATATTGTAATCATTAAACTTATCCAATAATGTAATTACAATATGATAATATAATAAGATAAAATAATACAATAAGATAAATTAATCTTTGCGTAAACTTTGATAAACAAAAAGGCAGTCAGAAACTAATTTTTACAGTATAAAAAAATAATAAAAAAAAATAAATCAAAAGTGAATAATCGAAAAGGGGCGAGATATAAACCCTGTGATATCTGAAATTGAATCTGATATTGACTTGAAGCATGCCGGACTGCACGTGGACACGTGGAACGAAGACGTCTGTCCGTCGTGGAAGAATGGTTGCAGCTGCACTCGGTCGAGATGTCGAAATCCAATATCGCAAATCCGAGCATACCTACCGTCTAGGCAAGCTAGGCAGTGGTGTGTTCGTTGCAGCGCAGGGGCGAACAGACAGAAATCCCAATAAATCATCCCGTCACGAGCCGTGAGCCAAGGCGGGGCCTCTTGCTTCGTATTAGCCAATAATAATCCTCTCCGAGGTGGAGGCCATCTTGGATTATACAATGGTTCCTTCCGCTGCAATTCGTATAAACGCAACCTCCGGGTATGCTGGACTACTCTCTCAAAAGGAAGCCAGTGGCGTACTAATCGCGATATCCTCATACGAGTACAGAAATCATGATTTCACGCTGAGAATCTGCGAATCCGACTGGGAATCTCGTCTATTCCACTGATTGACCACCGCGAAAAGTAGATTCTCAAATCTGCATAGCGTCATGATGCGATATAATGATAAGGGGGACATATCCGTTTTTTACCACATTCTATTTCATATTCAACCACAATTTATTTCTCGTTTTCAAACACAGCTATTATAATTAATATAATAATAATTATTATTAATATGGACAGACTCTTATATAATATAATACAATACACGGTTTAGACTCGTCGACATGATAGCATGTAATACTATTATCCATTGACGTCGTCTTCATCATTATACATAATACATACTTCACTCGCGTAAGATATCGTTTATCATTGCAATCATCATCAACATCGTCACTGTCGTACGTTTTATGTATACATATAGTTTACATAATGCGAGACACTACAAAATAACTATATACGTTTGTTGTAGCTGTAATTATCGTATATATTTATATTTAAATATATATATATTTATATATATATAATTTATATGTATATATATTTATATATATAGATTCATTTATATTTTTTTTCTTCGATTTATCGTTCGATAAAGCAGTGTTGCCCACGTTTATTTTCGGCTGCTAGGCACACCTGTACTTAAGTATTTCTTCCGCACAATCGTTGGAACGAATGCATTGTACCCGGTCTTTTGTAAATAGGCAATGTTTATATACTGTATGTATGCATGTATATGCATGTGTGTGTATGTGTGTGTGTGTGTGTGTGTGTGTGTGTATATATATATATATATGTGTATATAATATGTAGAATATATGATACATATACACTTTGTGTTTTCGGTCGGGGCAATGCGTAACCATGGTGACTCAAGTGTGTAACTGAGAGATAGCAAACTTAATCGTAGATCGTATATCATATTTTAGTAAAACATGTTAATGTAAATTTTTATGAAACAGCAACATAGCCGTTTTTTCTACCTAAATAAATCGCGGTTTGTTTCTTAGATTGTTATTTTACATGTAGGATATTCAGAACTTGCTCCTCTTTAGTGATCTTGACATAGTTGTATACATTTCATAAAAATGAACTTTTCATATTAAAATATTATTGTACAATCAGAAAATAAATATCAAGATTATTAGATAATTAACTTGTTATTAAAATCAATTTGTGCCGACAGATTTACGGCAGAAATCAAATAGAATTTGTTGATATAAACTATGGCAGATTGACAGTAAAGTCGAGTAAATTTGTTGAGCGTCGTAAACTCTTTTAAGGTATCTTTAAAATGTCAGAATCTAATGCTTTAATGTAAAATATATTAATTTTTATAATACGGTTAATAATACAGTTTAAAATTACTATTTTTTTTAAATAAAAAAATTAATAAAGTAAATAAAGATAAAAAAGAATAAAATTTCAATTTTAAAGATCTTTCAAAATCAATAACGTTATGATTTAAATAGCTACAAAACAATAGCTTTCGCTAATTTGCCATCAGATAATATTAGTAGAAACTATTTGATTTCTACTGCCAGTCTACCAACATTCTGCTATAATATTTTACTTACGGAGTACTTAGTCTAAAACATAAAAAATCCAATCTTCTGTTTTCCTTCAATGATTCAAATGACTTTGAAATAAGTATTTGAGAACCAAATAACTAATAATAATAATCAAAAATCAAGTATCTTCGTACAAATTTTAATAAAGAAATTCATGTATGATAAAAATCCATAAAACACACTGGAGAAACCGTAAGTTCATCAGCGGACGACAACGTGGCGGCTTTCGAAATATTGTCTTCCTCTTAGTCTAGTTATATTTTCGTCGAGTCACTGAATAATCGAGTTACTCGCGAAACTCAACTATGTGAATATCGTTACTATATCGTATCAATAAATAGTAATTAATTAGACCTCTGCTACCGTTACTTTGTAAGGTTTTTTTTTAATCTAGTAAACAGGTACCTACTTTACCTACGCGGTATCGTATACAGGGGTCGCGGTTCGCGATTCGATACCGCGACGTCAGACGTCGCCTTTCACATTGCCCTGCCGATAATTTGAAAAAAAAAAAACTTTCATTCACATATGCTTTTCACATGACTAATTATATACAAATGCATCTTGTTTGTTCCGTGTCTACCGGTACAGAATGAAAGTTATATGTAGAGTAATTTCGGTAATTTTTATTGCTTATATTTAGATGTCAACTCCATTTATAAACGAAATGATTTCAACACGTTCCGAAATCACTCTAAATTGAATCTCAATCTGCAAAATTCTTTTGGAATAATTAAATAATTTGAATATTAATAACGCACAATTAAATAATAATTTCTATTGATAAATAATTATATCGGTCTAAATGTCTTCTTGTTTTAGCGACTATTGTATATAACATTCTTGTCTCACGTTACGGAATCTATCAGTCTTCATATGGCGGAACCTATAATCGATGAGACCGCACATCTCACGTTTGAAATAGCAAAAATCGAAAGTTTCTTGTATATAATTGGCAATCTCCTCTAGTTGCATTACATAAGCAATATATTTATGATGATTTGATCTTTTTTACATTTACAAGTACATACAGAAATATGATTTAGGAATTTAATAAAGCAAGTACAGTAAAATATAATCAAATTGCATTACAAAATTGATGAAAAAGATAAAACCAGTGAAATATATTCTAATGGTGTACTAATATCTTTTAAATGATACTGAGATTTTATCTGTACTTTTGTTGTTTTGTCACATGTTGTGAAAGAAATGATATTAACTAAATATTTCATAATTATATCAGTGAATTTTAGTTTGATGAATGATGATGAAGCGAGGGACTTGCTTATTTATACATTTTACGTATTTGAATAGAAATACGATACCTAAAAGATATATGCAATTAATGACACTTTCCTGCGACAGAAAGTCAGGAACTCTTCGGCGCATACACGTATGAGACGTTTTGTAATTTGCTTATTCAATTTGCCTAATCAAAAATGGATCAAAAATGGATCAGATTAAAGAATCGAAATTGCGAAAGGATGAAGCAGCAAAATATGAATGTACGGAAAAAGGTTTTTATGAAATTGCTTTCCTTAAATGTCGTTTTATATGTATCTACATGTATAATTCGATAAAAATGATTGGATATGCGAGAATACAACATCAGCATAAGGATTTCGTAATCTCTACCAATCCACGTCATTTCGTAGAGATACTCAAGGAAGTAGAATAATGGTACATACAAATACCTACAACTTTATCTAGTACATTATAAAAAATATTTATTGTATAATCAATTAAACAAACAGAAAGATCCACTTTGCGATATATATAACATGTATCAATAAATATTACCGGACTAAACAATATTACGTCTGAAAGTTACTCATTCATTGACAAGCGTTACTTCTTATATTTCTTTGTTTTTCTTTGTTCTACTTATCTGGTAGCGTTTTTTTGCAGATAGCCTAGTTAGAAAGATCGGACTTATGTACATTTTTTTGCAAGTGCCGCCGCTCTCTGGCGTATTGTGGACAATAATAAATAAAATTTTCATTGCGCGTTTCTCCCGTGGTGTACACTTAATGGCGAATATCGTTTTTTATTTAGACGAAAATCCAATTAAAAATTTACGACCGCCACCTTACTGCGACCGACACATACCCGTTTACTTAACGTTATTTCTTTATTTTTACGAATTAGATTTTAGATGTTACTCTTATCGAATACGGACTATCTTAGTGACATACTTCGTACGTACACACTGTTGCATTTTACGTTCAGTTTTACGTTCTACTTTTGCATACACTCACGGTACTTGGTTTAATTTACGTATATCTTGTAATTTAATGCGCATATATACGAGTAAAGATAAAATATATATTTTGCATTTTTATTCCTCCCAGTTAATACTATGAATTTCCCTTCTCGCGTTATATATAATATATGTATATATTTTTTAATCTATAAGTAATAGGTTCGCTATCCAATAGATACAAAAGTTTATTTTTCTTTAATTGCGTATTCACGGCGATCGCTCATCGCTCATCATAATTTTACTTTTACAGCACCGAAGTCCATCATATCTTTCGTTTAAACGCATTTTTATTTAAACATATTTTATTGCACTATTCAACTTTTGTACATATTACAATCGAATTAGATGTTTGCAAGTAATCTTCGATATTTGATAGATCGGTGCTGATATCGAATTTAAACTTTTAGTGCATATATACAATTTTGACAAATATTAAAGTAATGTACATAGCAAATCATAAAAATCTCATCTTAAAGTTTGAATTTATTATCATTCCCTTTTTAACAATTTAAAAAGAAAATTATTAGATCGATCTCTGAAATTGGATACATGAAACTTTCTTTTGGTCATAGTATTATAACAATCGATATCATAGTCAAAGGATAAAAAATTCTTTTTTATCAAAAATAATAAGGAGCCTTGCATGTTGCATCATCCCCTCTATCATTAAAATATAATGTTATTTGATGAATACAATTAGAACTACGTGCAATTTGCTCGCATTAAAATATGTTATCCAAAAATCCATGTGATATCGTGCAAAGTTGTATGTCGTACGTCTACATAAATCATTCATCAATAATACAACTGTACAATTATTGTACTTCAGAGTAACGTAAAAAACGTAAATCGTGATACAATTACAATACAAAAATGTTTCAAAGATAATAACTTCTATATATCCAAATTACATAAAATCGAATGATGAAACAAAAATGTAAAAGATGGAGACTATGATTGGCTAGATTACGGATGTTTCAAAATAGCGAGCGATCGCCGTGGATTTTCACACAGTTCGTTGCTCCTCAAGGACAAAGAGTTTTATATAAATAAATTTCTCGAGAAGGAAAGGCTGGTCACACATGGCTCGATCGATGTACGAGCGCAAGCTGGACCATACGTTACGTATATCGATTACACGTTTTATGCCACTCTCTTTCTCCCATTTTTCGTAAAGAGATGGAGCCGAATTCTGCAGTGAGTTAGAAATTAACCACCTCTATAGGCATTTTTGACCGCTGTTCATAATTAGCCACGCGGTTATTAATATCATTTATTACGTATATCATTAATTATGGTGTATACAAGATATACACTAAATAATTATGTCGAATCTAAGTTTACAACACAGCACAAGAATTCACCGCGGCGGAATATATGGGCTCGCCTGGCTACAACGTGGCCGGACTTTCCTGGATCTCCCGATACGGCATAATCGAATCAATTCATCGAACCAGATCAGACGATCGAGTTGACGAGAGCCCTGATACCGCTTGCCACACTTAACATGCTTGTTTCAATATAAATGTAACAAATTGGATTCTTGTTGATCATACATTTATCATATATAGAAAGTGTTTTGTTATGTAAAAACTAAATAAAAATATTATATAAAATTCTCATATAAATAATAGAAAATAATTCACAAAAGAAGCACAATCACTCAGTTAAAAAAACTAAAATAAATATAATTTGAATAATTTTCATACTATATATTAAAAAAATCAAACAAACAATATATTTATTTGGAATGATAATGCAATTAAATTATCGTATATACATAATAAAACAATTTCTTTTGGTTAAGTTAGCTCTAAGGCATTATTAAGGTGCCAAGCGGTTTCATGCCGAAAGCATCCTATTCCGAAAATACGCTATGTATTATAACACTTGGTAACTTGGCGTCATGTCGCGCGGAGCAAGAGCAAATTTTCGATAGCTACTAATGCAAATAAACTTTCGTTCCTTCAGTTATCTTCTCTTAATATTTACAGGAAAAGAAGAATTGCAACGCTATTACGAGTATAACTATTGAATTTACTCTTTTAAAAAAATTCTAAAGAAAATAATTTATTCGAGATCACATTACGTGTCCGACATTGTAAAAGACATCACACTATATATATTTTATTTATTTATAATATCAAATATTATTAGATATTATCAGATATCTTAATATCAAACAGTTGTTTTCTGAAATTATTTGAACTATTTCAAGTATAAACTAAAAATTTCTTGATCCAAATAATAAATAATAATATAAAATACATTTCTAAATTATCGGAAATAATATAAAAAAATTTTAATTTGAACATTCTTTTCCAAACACAGACACGCTTTTTAGCTAGGAAAGAACTGCTTATATACATTATATACTCGTTATTTTTTGAGCAATATGCGTGATAGGAACAAATTTTTCCAACTATCGATTATTAAACGGAGAAACTACATCTTTATGCATTATTAATTACACAAAAATATAAGCTTATTCCGTTGAAGTTCAAAGCTTACTGTTCTTATCAAATGCACGATGATTTAACGAGAAACAAAGTAATGTAACCGATAATTGCGATCATTAGCAATCTTTATAAGACTAACCTTGCGATGACGCTGATGAAGAAATGCCAAGTCCATTTGACTCTGCTCCGCCGAAGAGCGCTGTTTTTTTTTTCATATTCACTTTATCAATCAGCACTAGTCTGTCCCATTTATGGTCGCTTTTTCCGCATACAAAATCCAAAAACAACGCCATGATCTTTCTATTTATACATCAAAATTCACTGATCTTTCATGGAATTAGTTTTGCACACACTTGTATCACTATTCTCAGAATAAGACGTAAACTTCGCGATATTTCTCTTCCGCTTTTGCACTGCTCTTTGTGTCCACTTGCTGTATCCCGCCATTACTCGAATCCTCCTTCGAATTTTATCAAAACACATTCTCAAAGATCACACTTGGCACGAATCATAAATATCCTCGTTAGAGCCACCGCTCGGCGGTATTAAAGAAAAAAAAATCTATCTAAACAATCCTCTAAGGACACTAAACCGCTTACCTATCGCTAAATACAGACGCGATGGACATCTTCATACAACTATTCTACTAATCGTCCTACAATTCTACTTTACGATGTAAGAGAATAAATAATAAAATGCTCTCCTAAGATTTTAACACGATCTTTTTTTTCTATCATATTCGCAATCAGATTCGCGCAATCATTCTTTCTCAGTAGATTTAATTCTTAATACTATAGCATTCGGAACCATGTCTTCTACGTTCGTTAGTGTCAACCGGTCATCGGTCACACTCGCTCCCACATTAAACTACATATATCTCTATCCATATGTATATATTTATGTATATATATATATATATACATATATATGTATAGTATATATATATATGGACTTTAGTATACAATAATCGTTAATTAAACGTAATAGAGGTTAACGCGGTTCTGATTAGCATGTGATCCAGTTTTATTTACTCTTCTCGATCAATAATCTTGATCCACCTTTTTCACGCGCATTCACGCCAATCCTCTGCTGACTCGTTTGTGCGTCTTTTCTTCGTTTTATTCTCTTCTTCTTGCATTTTCATAACTTTACGTCTCTGGGTTTATCATTCTCTTATCGTCTTCAAGCGCTCTTACAGATCCTTCTACAACTTCCTCGTCATCATTATCTGCTTCGTTTTTGGTACAAGCAACATGATTAACACGACAAAATAAGCGTCATTGCTTAGAGGGATCATTTGGAGGTCATCGATAGGGATTGGAGTTTGGGTAGGGAGGAGGTAGTGCTGGAAACAAGATATTAACGACCCTGAGAGGTGGAAAAGAAGTTCCACTCCCCTCGGAGCTCTTTTAACCCTGCGGCGACGTCTGTGGCGAGATTTCAGTGTCGCCATCGCCTGAGCCTGGCTCGCCTTTCGTCTTATTCTCTTTCTTCCACTTCATCCGTCTGTTTTGAAACCAGATCTTTATCTGCCGTTCCGTCAGACATAGCGCGTGTGCGATCTCGATGCGTCGCCGCCTAGTAAGATATCGATTGAAGTGAAACTCTTTTTCCAGTTCTAACGTTTGGTATCGTGTATAAGTCTGCCGACCCCGTTTCCTTTCTGAAACAAAAGAAATTAAAATTTCAAATTAATATAAATTATTACCTAATTGTAAATTATTATATTATATCTATACATAAGTATAAGAGAAAAATATTATATTGTATAAGATATGCGTCAAATATATCAAGTAATATATTATTGTATAAATATATTATAAATATATTATAAATAATATATTATAAATATAAATGTAAAATCTTTTGACGAATAGCGGTTGCGCTGGCATAGAAGTACCTACAACTGTAGCGGACAAGACTTGTAGATATCTCGCTATCTTATCTTTACTACAAATGATCAATTAACTAATATATTTCACTACTACTTAAATATTACAGCCTACTCTCTAAATCTGAATCAGTGGGTAGTCATTAATTACTCAATGGCATACTTTGCACTGATAATCAATAAAAAAAGGAAAAATGTTTGAGCATTATATAACTAAACTACTATATTTACACGTTAATTTCAATCTTCCAATACCATATTCATTGAATTTAAGCACTAAAATAAGGTTAGTTAGGTCACAAAATAAAGATGAACTTAAGGTTAGGGATCTCACATTTAATTCACTGATTACCAGTGGTATACTTGGCACTGACATCAGTGATTATCCACTGATTTAGATTTAGAGAGTATGATTGATTTGACTGGCTGATAGTTTCTATAAACTTCAACAAAATTTCTGTAAATTTTAACGAAATAAATAAAATACCGCTGCAGTATTTAATAAAAAAGACTCAGGATCGTAAATGCAGTTCCGCATATGATAGATACCTTAGCGATATTCGCGATATGATCTGCGGTCAGTGCGCGGTACACGAATTCCAAACAAGAATATTAATTATGGTTGCTAAGAGAGCGAGAGAGGCAGAAAAGACGGAGGAAGATACTAAGGAGACAGAGCGAGTTGACTCTGTGTGAGAAGTCTCGCAACTTTACAAGGTATAAACCTCAAAGGGTTTGGTTCGGTTAACCCGCCATACGAGTGAGAGAGCAAAATGAGAATGCTTCAGAATGGAAGGAGGGAAGAAGGAAGAAGACGCGTAGGGATGAGAACTGGAAAGTAAGGAGGGGAGAGGTGAAGAAGGAGAAGAAGAAGAAGAAGAAAACTCCTTGGCGAGCATTCGAGGCAAACGCCGCCCGTCGCGCTGTCGGCCGATGAAGATGGATGGCGGTTCTGCTCCGGAGAGAGATAGAGAGATCGCGTAGGTTTCTGAACCTTCGACTAGACGAAGAGGACGATATATGGAGGAAGAGAAAAAACGCGCGTTAGAGAAAGAGAGGGGCAGAGAGGAGAGGATAGAGAAAGTTGGGAACATGCCCTCTTATTCCTTCCCTTGGGCTACGCTCTCAAATTAACAACATACCAATCTCTAGCGCTCTCTTATAAGCTTTAACGATTTAGGCAACTTCCTTGGTTCTCTTTCCTTCCTTATTTTAAGAAAATAGCCATTTACTATTCTGTCCAAAATTATAATAAATATTATTAAAAAGTAATTATATCGGTCATCGCATAAATAGATATATGCTCTTATGAAATCATGTACATATTATATGAAAAAAATATTATCATAATTGACTATCAAGTGTACCGTCGACTGTTCTATGAAAGTTGCATCCTATTAATATTCATTTGTCACACCGCGTTAATGAAGATCACGTTCTAGATCTAAGGTTAGATTATCAAAGCGTTGCGCATCAGTGAAATACATGAAACATGTTCAATTTCACTAATACTTCAGAAAATGTCAATTTATTTAAGTAATTTTATTTATAGTATTTTATTCCATAAATAAATCCTATTCGAAAGTTTATATGTGACTAAAATTTTAACTGATTATTAACATTAAAATTTCCAACATAGCAACCGCACATTATTTTTAAAATGCTAAAAAAATTCTAGACACGCATATATATATATTTTTATTCGAAACTTATATATTCATCTGAAATACGTTTATATGATCACTTTAAATAAAGATAATCGTGAGATGAAGCGGCGTAATAATCAGGTTTGTTTCAAAAGGTCACTTCGCCCATAAATCCTCTCATGCCACTAGATGTTGCAGAGCAAAGAAATGAATTATTAAACGCTGCATCGAGACGAGTCTGTATTATTTATGAGCTAAAACCTATAAAGTTTTCGAGCCAATCGATTTGATTATTAAAGACTAAAACCTCGATTAGATGTATTCGGATATGAGAATTAGAACAATAATACGTGAGTTGAGTGGGGTTAATTAAAGAGACAGCAATACTTTATGTTTTCAGACGTTATTTACCAAATGCTTTTATAAGATGTAACTATAGAAAGAGTTGTGAACTGATATTACATATTTTGAAATCGAAAAAATTATTCTTAACAGATCCTAATAAAAATACATACTAAAAAAATGATAAATGTGCTTCTAAATGTTAAAATCCAGTTTTTTGTAACATAAATGTTGAAAATTAATTTTTTTATTTTTGAGAACAACGTTATTATCATTTCTCACATTTAAGTTATTATGTATATGATGTTACTGTGGTTCCATTGATATTTTTAAGATACGTAACACGCAGGCATGCATACGCGCGTATGGAAAGAAGTCCTGTAATAAGAAAGTCATACCGATGGCTTAAGTTTGCGCCGGATCGGCGTAGCAGCGCTGCTATGGCTTTCGCGGACGGAGGTGACTTTAAACGCGGAGCAATAAATTAACGGCGTTGGGTTACGCAAGGATCAAATGTCCCCTGGAGTATGCCCGGGAGATTTATGGGTCTGCCTTCACTGGCGCAGCATGAAGGAACGAAACAGAACAGAACGTACACAACCGTGCGGCTTATTATAGGCTAGTTGCTCCGTATCTCCGCTTCCCCTCCTGCCTGACTAGTCTTTCAGGCCCGCCGCAGGATACACGCAGGACTTTTCAGATTAACAGCTAGCCGGATGTTGTAACCCGCTAATAAGGTGCGGCCACCACTCGGTGCCCAATTAAGCTAAGCTTTACGTGGGCACTATAAGGCCAGGCCTTGAAACGCGTTTCGATTAGATATCCTAGATGTATCATTAATTTTATCATTTGCTCACGGAATCAACCTTGGGTATCTACACGTTGACGAACATTAATATTAATTGCACAAAATTGTATGAATAACTTCTAAAATTTTCTTAAATAAACGCTCAGATGCAACAAAGTCAGAATTTAACATCCAGTTTGTTGTATGTAATTTTTAATGACAAACTAAAAATTTTATTTTCAAATGTTGAAGATTTGAATATATATTCCTCGAAAAGTATTCTTTGAAACAGTTTATATAAATAAATAGTGCAAAGATATAATTAATAATGATAAAAAATTATGACGTCCAATTTTACCACATATCTTAGATCAGACAATTTATTTTCATTTTTATTAGCAATTCTTACAAATTTCTTGCAAATGGTCCTCATAAGATAGATTAAATCCTAAATGCTATATTTTGTTTCTTTTAGTAAAACTATAATTTCAACGTATGTTTTACTTTTAATGTTTTATATAGACTAACTAAGACTGACTGAATTTCACAGAAGTTTTCAGCGAAAGAGAAAAGCATCAAGTCCGCTAACATTTATAGAGGAAATTTAGAAACTCCCAAGGAGACTAGAGTATTCTATAGGTAGTTTTTCCTCCTTGCTTTTGCTTTTCTTTTTTTGATCTTCCGGGCAGACGAGCAGACAGGCAGACAAGAAGATGGAGTTTGAAAGAGCCGAGGTAGAAGGTTGAGATAATGAGTAGAACGGCTTGCCGCGACATATGCATCTTTACGGGTATCACTCGGAGCATTAAAATTTACTTTTTTTCTTTCTGCACCTGCTACTCTAGATACGAATATAGCTATCATAAAATTTAAGATTGAATCGTGACAAATAGAAATTTTTATTTCATGCAAGAAGTCAAATTGATTATTAAGTATTACGTAAAGGAATAAATCAAATCACAACAAAATAGAGACAATTTTGTCTTTCAAACATTGAATTCTAGCCAAATATCGAATAGAAAATCAAACCACCTCCATATCATTCACAATTGCCTCCATGGCGGAGCTCCAAAAGAAAACGGTCCCAGGATTTCTATGGATTCATTCATCATCATCTACCTCTTTCTACCGC